CTACATTCACAAGCTGCAGCCATTTAATGAGGTGTAGTGGCCTCTCTTGGACCTCTGGCCTGCAGGATGGGATTTTTACCTTGTGCCACAGTGGGGGAAACAAGGAACAGGGTCACAAAATAACAAAATGAGAAAATCTCTGTGATGGAGAAACATCCCCCAGGCCCAGCAAGATTCCTACAGTATTCAGCACCATTTGGGTTGTGCCAGGGATGTGTTTTTGTCACGTGACAGCCTATCCTCATTGACATCAATCAGAGACTTGCGGAGGTAAGAGTGGAGTTCTGGCAGAAGGTGCTGTGGGAGACCTTGCCCCCTTTCTTTTGTTGCAGGAGTGGCCACGGGAACCAGATCTCTCGGACACCGAATATTGGAGGAAGAGGTTTATTCAGCTGGGAGCCAGGTGTCATATTTGCCTAATATCCAAGCTTGCCTAACAAAGGAAGGTTCCTTCTTTATATAGGCTTATACTTTAGATGTTACACGTGGAAGAATTTTAGGTTTATAGCTTAACATATGTAAAGGGTCTCTGTTTACAGTCTTAGGAATTACATATGTAAAGGGTCTCTGTTTACAGTCTTAGGAATTACATATCAAAAGGGTTTCAGTTTACAGTCTTAGGAATTAACATATGAAAAGGGCTTCGGTTTACAGTCTCAGGAATAAAAAGGGGAAGTTTACAGTCTTAGGAATGAAAAGGGGAAGTTGATCTGAGATGCCTGGGTCTCCCTCTTCATCCCCCCCTTTGAGACCCTTAACACTTTATAATGTGCTATAGCTGGCCTAGAGCCAGAACCTGAGCAACGCCATTTTATAAGATAAAGCTGTGTTTGGCTTCTGTAAATAAAGCTGCTAGCTTGCTCTGAAAAATGCCCACTATGTAAAGCTGCTTACCTTTTCTTATCAGTACCAGAATAAGCAGCCCAAGCTAATTCTGTCTTGGCCCCTGCGACTTGTAATAAGTAACTAAGATCTGTAATTTTCACCACTACCCAGACAATGTGTAAACTAAGGCTTATCTTGACTTCTGTAAACCACTTAGGTAACAATCGGAATGACAAAAAGTCCCCTGGCCCTCAGAATGTCTGAATCCCTTCAGCCCCACCCCTGCCCCTCACCCTCTCGGTCCTAAAACCAGGATGTGGTTTTTCAGCTTAAAAACCCCTCTCTCCCTGAGCTTGGGGCCACAGGTTGAAGATATGTGAGTCCTCTGTGGCCGCCGGCAATAAAGACCCGCAATTTGGCATACTTTTGTCTTGGTGTTAATTTCATACTCGATCTAATACTTCAATAATATTAGTGAGAGGTCTCACTTTCATTCTCACTTTCCAGATTTTCTGAAGAAACAGACTGATAATGTTTCATATAATACACTTGTGATGTCACTTTTTGGCTAACTACAGTAGTGATGAATCCCCTTATCATCTGAAGGAACAGGGGCAGTAGACAAAGGAGCAGTAAACAAACACCTATTGTTATTAGAACACTTATGATGAGGGTTTTGAATCCTCTCAAGGAAGAGAACCTACCTCTAAATAAGGACTCAGGGTTAAATCTGTGCCACACCTGTACAGGCACGTGTGCCAGTTTAGTCATGTCTTGAACAATATCCTCTACTGCTTGACCCTCGTCATCTATGTGCAGACAGCAGTTGGTTAGACTGAATTTTCCCCAGACTTCTCCTTTGGCTGCTAGCAAATAATTTAGGGCTAGTTGGTTGTGATAAATCGCATTTCTCATTTGAGATTCTTGTTGGGCCAAGAGGGACAGAGCTTTGCCCGTTTCATTAGTATTTCTAAAACGGCCTGCAACTGCATGAGCATGTAAATAGGGGTCCGGTATCCCCATGAGTCATCCTCAGCCCGTGTGGCCAGCCCATAATACTCAATAATTTTCTCTGATGGCCACTCATCATCTGTCCCATTTGTTAGTTTTAGGTTTCTCTTCTCCCTAGCAGAGTAAACTGAGTGCCCTAACAGCTCACCTATCTTAACAGATAATAGGAAGAAAGAAGGCTTAATGATGCTTATGACATAGCTACCTGTCCATCTCATGGATTACACCTCTTATATTGAGTTCCATTATATAAACAGGTTCCCTTCTGTGTCCCTGTACATTTATAAGAACTGCAGGACAAAAGAATGGCAGTAACTTTTACGTCTTTCTTGGTGTACATACTGAGGGCATTCTTTGAAATTAGTTAATGTTCCTACTGTGTAAGTCCAAATATTAAGAACAAGTCCCACGATGAATCTCCTCATGCTTTGGCCATGTGTGGACCAGCCAGCTTCCGGGATGTGGCTGGAGCAGGGCTTGTTGTCCTTTTTAAGGTGATTCTGCAGTCTTTGCCTTGGTCTAAGTCTCAGCTGTTGCTGGTCTTTACACGGCTGTGGTGGATTCAGGCTGGGATTCCTTCTACCTTCACAGCTGTGGGATTGGTCAGGATCAGGCCTGAGGTCCTTTCCATTGTGGCTTTAGAGGGGCTGTACTCCCATCCTTTATCTACATGTGATTACTTAGTGAGAAAGGGTGAACTGGGGAGAAAAAGGCTTATAGGACATTTGTTATTTACTTAGGTTGAAGTATTCTAAGTGATTCTCCTTAGAGCTGGTGACTAGCAGCCTAACGCAATCTCTCCCCACTCCTGAGGAGTTCTAGGAGAGCCCAGAGTAGGGGAGGGGGCCTATGGCATAAGACTTTATAGGGGAATATCCTGTTTTTCCTAGAGGGAGTGCTTCTAATTTTGAATAACCCCAAGGGAAGTGCCTGCACCCACTCTAATCTTGTTCCCTGACACACTTTCCATAAGCTGTTTTTGATGGTCCAGTTTTTTTCCACTTTTCTGGAACTCTGAGGTCGGTAGGCAGTGTGCAGTTTCCAGGTGATACCTAAGGCGGTTGCTGTTTTCCGGACTAAGTCTGCCACAAATGCTGGTCCACTGTCTGCCCCGATGTGCAGTGGTAGTCTAAACCTAGGGATAAGATCTCGAAGCAGCATACAGGTTACTTCATGGGCTCTTTCAGTCCCACCCAGAGTATGTGCACACCAGGACCAACAAATACTTATGTCCTTCACACTTGGACATTTCAATAAAGTGTACCTGGAGATCTTCAAATGGAGCTGCTCTATAAGCTTGAATTCCAGGGGGAATAGTTGGACCCTGCCTCGAGTTGCGTTGTCAACATGTAATGCATTGCTGTGCTACAGTTTTGGTCAAGTCTGCTAAATGTGAGATGTAAAAGTACTGGCCCAACATTTTTTTAAGTGACTCTTGACCTAAATGAGTGGTCTCATGTACAGCTTGTACACCTGCTGCTCTCAGCAGCTGTAGTTCTGCTATTCTTCCATCTAGCAGTTGGATCCATTCTTCTTTAATCAGTTGCCCCCTTCTGTCTGGAGAAAGTCTCTTTCTTCCTTAGAGTAAGTAGGCAGTAGATCAGGGATCTGGGGAATCAGCAGGGCTGTAACTGCTATTTGGTAGGGGGCAGGTGCTGCCTTAGGAGCTGCTGAATCTGCTTGGGAATTTCCCAGGGCCACAGAGGTGTGGGCTCACTGATGTCCTCTGCAATGCATGACTGCCACCCTCCAGGGCTTTCAGGCTGCTTCTAGCAGCTGCAAAATTTCATGCTGAAAGTTTATTTCTTTTCCCTCTGAAGTTCATAGACCTCTCTCTTTTTACGGTGCTCCATGTACTTGGAGAGTCGGGAAGGCATATGGAAAGTCAGTGTAAATGTTTATAACCTTATCTTTACTCAGCTTTAGAGCTTGAGATAAAGCAATGAGTTCAGCCTTCTGAGCTGAGGTGCCCTGAGGCAGGGATTTGGCCTCCATTACAGTGTCCAGAGTTACCACGGCGTAGCCTGCACATCTTTCCCCTCGTGGATTGACAAAACTGCTCCCATCCACATACAACTCCCAGTCTGCTACTGTCCATAGCTGATCCCCAAGATCAGGCCTGCTGGAATAGACTGTATCCAGGACTTCAACACAGTTGTGTTCAACGGGACCCTCTGACATTGGGAGCAAAGTGGCGGGGTTTAAGGTGTTGCAGACTTCAATGGTGATGCAGGGATTTTCACATAGCAGGCTCTGGTATTTGGTCAGCCTAACATCTGATAACCAGTGGTGCCCTCTGGTATTCATTAGAGTCACTACTGCATGAGGTGCCTTGATATTTAAGTTCTGTCCCAGAGTTAGCTTATCAGCTTCTTGTGCCAGTAGAGCAGTTGCTGCCAGGGCCCTTAAGCATGGTGCCTTCCTTTGGAAACTCCATCCAGCTGCTTGGAGAGGTAAGCTACAGGCCTGGGCCAAGGTCCTACTGTTTGGACATGGACCCCAACTGCCACTTTTTCTTTTTCTGCCACATATAATGTGAAGGGCTTTGTTAAATCAGCCAGCCCCAAAGCTGAACTGACATTAGTTTTGTTTTCAGTTCCTGATAGGCCTGGCGCTGCTGGGATCCCCATTCAAAGGGCTCCTTGTCTCCCTCCTTTGTCACATCATAGAGGGGTTTGGCTAGTACTGCGAAGTTTGGAAATCCACAATTTACAAAATCCACCACTCCCAGGAGCTCTCTCGCCTGCTTTTTAGTCTCAGGGTCTGTCACTCTGCAAGTGGTTTGCTTCCTCTCTGCTTCTAGACTGCGTTTCCCCTTCCAGATGGTAAGCCTCAGATACTGCATTTGCTTTTTGGCAAATCTGGGCTTTCCTTTTAAACCCTTTATGCCCACAGTCCTCCAGGTGCCGAAGTAAGCCATTTGTTTGCGCACCCGACTGCCGTGGGGTGTCTTAATAGAAGGTTATTAGCATATGGGGGCAGTTGCAAGCAAGAAGCTTCTGGGGGGCAGTCACAGGCTGATGCCTAGCTAAGGATGATGAGAGAGTTTTTGAGCCCCTGGGAAGCTGGGTCTAGGTGTATTGAGTGGTTACACCTGCTTCTGGGTTTCTGCCATTGAAATGCAAATAAGTTTTTTTTTTTTTTTTTTTTTTTGACCCTCTGAGGCCAGTCTAATGCTAAGGAGGTATTCTTTAAGTCCAATTAAGTGAACCAACTATCCTCTGCTGGCAATAATCCCAACTGCGTGTATGAGTTGGGTGCAAAGCCACGCAAGCCTTGCACAGGCCTGGGTGATAATATCAGTCTTCTGCTTCTGGCTAGGAAAGCTCCATATTCCTTCCTAAGAGGCAATGAGAGCCTGGATGACCCCTGCCTAAGGCATTTTTAGCTGCAGGGAGTCTCCTTTTTGAATGGGATAATGGCCCTTGATTTACACAACAGGTTTTGCTGGAGAAGGTGGGCAGGGGCAGTCTACTAAGTACAAGAAAGTCTGTTCTTTTAGCACCTTAATATCACTAACAATATTGGTTCTGTTTTTTCCATGGGGGGTTACAGGGCTGTTGTCCGGACTGTGGGTTCTTAGGTGGGCAGACTGTGGGGCTTTCCAGGAACCCCCCTTTTCCCACACTCTTGGAGGTGTTCCTCTCATAGCAGCAGCTGTCAAGTCAGCCTTCTGTTGAGCCTGATGTTCCCTTTCCCTATGATTTTCCCTCTGGCTTACCGCCTCTTGGTTTACAAACGCCTGGTTAGCTACTTCCAATAACTGAAGTATTCATAGATGCAAATCCTGCCTGTTTCTGCCACTGCATTTGCCTGGACATGGGAGTCCATATTTCTCAGTGGCGAGGGGGATGGTGATTTCTAGCAGTTTATCCCTTGGCTACTAAAAGTCGCTGCCTGTTCTCTTAGCCACTTCGGAGGGTTTAACACTAACTGCAACTACTAGTCTATGTATGGAAATTGATCAAGGTGTTTTAGCTTGCTGTATATAACCTCATGCCTTACTTTGGAGACAAGGGGCCTGGTTAGGGTCCCCTCTGGGGGCCAACCCACCCTAAATGCTGGCTAATCTTCCCTACATAAAACCCTTAATTTATCTGGTGTCATAGTTACTTTATAATTCCAGCTAAATTCCTTCTTGAAAATTTTCAGCATGGTTTCTAAAGGAGTGGGCTTGCTATGGGAGTGACCCATATTAACAATTCAAAGAAACAATTCCCACACTTAGGAGAGTGTTAGTTCACTCACAGCAGCTCCCGACTAGCAAGATGCAGCACAGGGCACTCTCCGATTTACATTCACTTCAATCCTTTTACAACGCCCAGAGGCTTCTTCACTCAGCCTTATGTGGCTATCTCTAATTCTACAAATTGCTTGATGCATGAGGTCCTTCCTAATGGGCCCAATACCTTTTACGACTGATGAGTCCAGCTGGACACATCTACACACAGACACACATCTACACAAAGACACACATCCACACACATCCACACATCCAAATGCTCTTCTTCCAATTCAACAGAGAGCTACCTTCCAATGTGCCGATCTTGCACCCGTGGGTGATCAGGCCATGCTTTTACCCAAAACGGAGTGGACTACTTTCCCAGGTACGACAACACAGACACACTTCCATGCACAGACACACATCCGAATGCTCTCCTTCCAATTCAACAGAGAGCTACCTTCCAATGTGCAAATCTGGCACCCGTGGATGATCAGGCCACGCTTCCACCCAAAATGGGGTGGGCTACTTACCCCGGTACAATGACACAGACACACATCCAAATGCTCTCCTTCCAATTCAACAGAGAGCTACCTTCCAACATGCCAGTCTGGCACCTGTGAGTGATCAGGCCACACTTCCACCCAAACAGGGTGGGCTACTTTCCCGGGTACAATCTTACCAAATTCAGTTGTCCAGACTTCCCCAAATGCTCATTCCCCCTCGGTGTTCAGCCACTGGGTGGATCCGCACTGCAGGGCCTCCCTGCTCCACTCTGGCGAGGCTTTTCCACCGGGCAAATACCTGCCCAGGAGCGCTCTCAGGATGCGTCACCCCAGGGAGCACCCCGCAGGGATGCTCCACAGGGCTAGGCAAACCACCTAAGAGACTTTTTCCCTGCTGTCTGCTATCCGAGACTCGCTTCCCTGACAACGCACCAAAATGTTGCATGAGCGGCCGGGGGAAACAGATCTCCTGGACACCAAATATTGGAGGAAAGAGTTTATTTGGCCGGGAGCCAGGTAGCATATTTGCCTAATATCCAAGCTCGCCTAACAAAGGAACGTTCCTTCTTTATATAGGCTTATACTTTAGATGTTACACATGGAAGAATCTTAGGTTTATAGCTTAACATATGAAAAGGATCTCTGTTTACAGTCTTAGGAATTACATATCAAAAGGGTTTCAGTTCACAGTCTTAGGAATTAACATATGAAAAGTGCTTCAGTTTACAGTCTTAGGAATGAAAAGGGGAAGTTGATCTGAGATGCCTGGGTCTCCCTCTTCACTTTGACATTGAGAACAGTAAGAGTTTTGTTCTTTGGGCCAGGCATGGTGGCTCATACCTGTAATCTCAGCACTTTGGTTGGATCTCTTGAGGTCAGGAGGTCAGGACCAGCCTGGTGCACATGGTAAGATCCCATCTATACTAAAAATACAAAAATTAGCCAGGCAGTGGTGGTGAGTGCCTGTAATCCCAACTACTTGGGAGGCTGAGGCAGAAGAATGGCTTGAATCTGGGAGGTGGAGGTTGCAGTGAGCCCAGATTGTGCCAATGCACTCCAGTCTGGGTGACAGTGAGATCCTGTCTCAAAAAAAGCCTTTCTGTAATATATGTGAGGAACAGTTCCCAATGCCTGCATGTGTGGAAGTGGAGTCCCTCTTTTCTTGATTAAGAACTTTTTCTGGGGCTGGTTGGGGGATTTTGGGCCATGTGTACCTGACAGGTGTGTGGAGCATCTGAGGGCTTAGCTGGCTTGTGCCCCAATGCCCCTCCCCAGGGAGAGCCAGACCCTTCTCTCTTATTGCCCACTCATGCCCAGTCCCACATTGTTTCTCACTCAGGAGCCCTCTGCCTGACCCTTTTAATTCAGGTTCTGCTGAATCTCTTGGGGACCCTGTGAGCCCTGGGATAAAATTGCAGGAGGTGGCAACTCTGCTGCCAACTTCTACCTGAAGTTGGGGTCCCTGGACTATGCTGGCACCTAGTGAGCAGGGTGGCTGACCTGATCAAGCATCATCTCTTAGCCTAGCTTAAGGCCCTTCCCCACTCCCGGCCTTACACTGGTGGAGGCTTCAGTCATGGCTGGTTTCAGTCATGGCTGGTCTGGGGAGTACCCTGTGTTTCCTCCCAGATTGAAGGGGAGAAGCAGATCCTGAAGAATGATCTAAATTGTTTAGCTCAGCTGACCCCTTGTTCCCTGCTGTTGAACACACACTTTGGTTTTTATGCCCTGATTACCTCTGCTTACCTGGATGTCCCAGGCAGGTGAGTTGTGTTTCTGTCTCATGTGTGCTTGGGCTGTGCTTGAGGGTCACTAGCAGGTACTGTCTGGCAGTGGGCAGTGTTAGGTCATTGTGCTCTCCAAATTCTAGAAAACAGCCCCTGAATAAACAAACTGTGGTACATTAATACAATAGAATTCTAATGTGTCAACAAAGGGAAACAAATTACATTACACTATGGATGAGTCAGAAATGCATTTCTCTAAGTGAAGAAAGTCAGATCTAAAAGGCTACATATTATATAATGCAATTAAATGGCATAACAGAAAAAGAAAATTATAGTGATAGATGAAGAAGAAGGAGGAGAAGGAGGAAGAGAAGGAAGAGTAGGAAGAAGGGGAGGAGGAGAAATGTGGTAATAAAACAGTGATGTATGATACTGTGGGGATGAGTGTATGAGTCTCAACAGTTGTTAAAACCAGTGGAACTGTACATCACAAAGAATACATTTTCCTCCTGCATATTTATAAAACCTAATTTTGAAGAAATTCAGATAAAGGGCAGGCAGTACAAAAAGAGTTTATGCTTACTAGAAATAGATTGCCTAATTCTATTGAAGAAGGTGAGGGCAAAAGATTTTGATGTTAATCACTTTGAAAAATAGTGTTTTCATTAAATGCTGTAAAACTCAAGAACTGAACAGAAACACTGTGTTCTGGTTAGTGTTGTTTGTCCATAAGACTATGGATTAGCAATTTTTAAAATTCTATATGTTAGTATCTATCTATCTAGATAGACAGAGGTAGAGATGGGTAATAAGAGAGCGAGAAAGACAGGGAGGGAGAGAGAGAGAAGACAATTCATGCCTGTTTGTCACTAAAGTTGAAAAAAGAAAATCAAAGGCAGAATTCCAGAATAAACCCTGTGATACTGGACTGAAGTTGGAAATATTTGGATAAAGGCATGCTTCTTATATCCATCAATACAAAAAGAGACAAAGAGGGAAATAGAGATAGAAAGAGAGAAATGTGTGCATACATGAGTCTATATTTATACGTATATTTCTAAACTTTGCTGTGAGGGCTCAGAAGTAGCAAGTAGTGACACCTCAGTATTAATGAGCACACCTATCTTTTATATCATGGTTTCTAAGTACTATTCTCCAATAAAAGAGAGTGATTCTTCATAAAAATAGATTGTTCTGGGGCTGAACTGAAAAATACAACTTATGGAAGAGTATCTTGTGGAGCCAGAAAGTTAAAAAGTGCTTTACAAACAACAGAAGATGCTGGGAGTGGTGGCTCATGCCCGTAATCCCAGTACTTTTCGGAGGCTGAGGTGGGCAGATGACCTGATGTTGGGAGTTTGAGACCAGCCTGACCAACATGAAGAAATGTTGTCTCTACTAAAAATTCAAAATTAGCCAGGCGTAGTGGCACATGCCTGTAATCCCAGCTCTTTGGGAGGCTGAGGCAGGAGAATTACTTGAACCCAGGAGGCAGAGGTTTCAGTGAGCTGAGATTGCACCATTGCACTCCAGCCTGGGTAACAAGCAAAACTCCATCTCAAAAGAAAAAAAAAAAAAAGAAGGCATGGCAAAAGAAGTCAACCTCTAAGACCTCCCAGAAGTCATGGCTGAACCAATGTGAGAAACAAAATAAATAATAACATTGAATTATAACCCAGAGAATACAAGAAATATCTGAGTTTATACAGATATAGAAAAGATTAAATAGGCTGGGCGCAGTGGCTCACTCCTGTAATCTCAGCACTTTGGGAGGCCACGGCAGGTGGATCACGAGGTCAGGAGTTCAAGACCAGCGTGGCCAACGTAGTGAGGCACCGTCTCTACTAAAAATACAAAAATTATCGAGGCGT